GAGCAACTCCCCCCCCCCGGTCTACGCAAAAAAAAATGTCTTCCCTTTGCATAAATCCGCAATTACATCAGTGTTTTCTCCTGTTTGCATCTTCCTCACATTGATCGATGCGCCTCACTACCGACACTTTGTTCTATGAGCTGCAGAGGTGAGCTGGGGCCTATTTTATATTCTAGCCATCGAGCGAATTCACGAGAGCGATATTGCACTCATGTAGTAACAGAATAATCCCTTATTGTTATAAAAAAAAATAGTTAAAAAACAAAATCGCTTCATGTATTCGCTCCACCATAGTAGCGGTCTCTGTTAAACAACCCATGGTCCTACCTAACGTAAATTTCAAGTAGCTTCCTAACAACTAGTCGCCATTTTGCAAAATAGTACGCTGCTTGTACATAAAAGTAAATTAATTAATAGGCAGCCAAGTATGTTTATACCTAACTCTTTCTTAACAAATCACCATATAGAATAAATCCTAGTAATTTTTTGTTATCTGTTATACAATAACCACCCTTCTTGCTCCTCAAATTGGGTTTCATTCAGTACCATCTCAAAAGTCCCATTATGGCTGCACCTTATTCTCTCTTGCTACTAAACTGTCTTTGTTCTCTAACACCACGTCTTGTCGTATTCAAACCATTTCTCTTCCAGCACGTGCATTCTTTCTGTTCGTTACGTTCACCCTGTCTGTCTTTCTAAAATTTAAACAGGCTATCGCTCGGTTCCCACAGCTAGTGCGCCACCAGCCAATAGTACAGCAGCCAACCACAGTCGTAACAACCACCCCGGATTGTACGCCGGCGCCTATTCGGGCTCCGGGGGAGGGGGGAGGGGCACAGCCTACGAGATGAGGCATCACAACAAGGTCTGATGATCTACCCAGGGTTGTGCGAACTTCAGAAATTGTTTCCGGCGTCATCATCTCCTAGAAGATCCATTTACGCGTGGACATTGAGAAAATTCCATACCCAGTATCAGGAGTGGAAAGTTTTTGAGAAGAAAAAGAAAATAATGTTGCGGAGAAGATAATGAAGAAATTAGATTTTTTTGTCGAACAAAATCGAGGCATCTCGGGATTCCTTCGAGCGTTAAGACTGTTTTGCAAGAGATCGTCGAGGGTCTCCTGAATCCTCGTGGAAATACGAACAAGAGAGCATCAATTGCGATTTTTGACGATTTTTTCGGAACGTACCGGAAGTCACGTGTGACCAAGTATCTTCGAACTACGGAATTAGCATCTCGGACAAGGTTGTATTGTTCTTGTGCGACGACCTACTCGATGTCGGAATCGCCTGTCCTTTGTGCTTGGTGAAAGGTCGTTGCAGAACGTGACGTCACTTAAATTGTGCTTTTTTTAAATATGATTTTTTAAATTGTAAGCGTAATCGTGCGATTATTGATCAATTGGAGATCAAATTAGACAATATGTATGTATGATTGAGGGAGGGTTACAATCTTTCTTAAATGTAAGGGTGGATTTTGATATGGATTGATGATTAATTAATCGACCAAGGTTTGCCCCGTTTTCGTGTGATGCACTGGAATGTCGTTTGTTCGCGTGTCGTACGATCACAGCCAGATCATGCGGACGCGCGTTATCTTTTTCTTTTTTTTTTCAACAGCTCATTATCACGAGTCTCGTTTGCCCATAACTTTCAAACCGGAAACTGAAAACGAATCTAACGAGATCTATTTGTAATTCTGGAATTCGACGGTGCGCTTGCTTTTATTTCTGCTGTCGATTTTATGGGCATTTTATCGATGGCAACCGTCCGCGATGCATAGGGCTAGGGGCCATACTTGTACTGATTGGATGTGATTCTCTAGAGCTACACTAAATAATTAATGAGAGCGAAGATAACGTTAATTATTTATAAAATCGTGTTCTACGTCTGTTGCGACCTTTCGACCTGACAAACGGGACGCTCAGCATTACCAAACTATCGCAGGTCATTCACTTGATCTCTGTACCATTGTAGAATAATGATTAATGATATGTATTATTCTTATACTAATTTTTATTAGCCAATTGGGAGCGAAGCTGGATTACAGCCAGCGGAGAAATGACGATAAAAAAAGAACAAGCGACATGAAAAGAGAAGAAAAATGCAAAAAAAAACAATTTTATAGTGATACTCAATTTAATCGAATCGTCGCGTTACGATCGCGCTATTATTATTATTATTATTATTATTAACGGTTCAATTATTAATTATTAATTAGTTGACTATTGCCGATGAATAATTTATCGTTCACTGTCGCGATTATTGTAAATTATATTTAAAATAGCGTTTAATCCTCGTGGTCGCATTACCGGAGGGCTGCACCGGTTTTCGAGAGCTATCGTTAATTAATTAATGAGTGAATGGATCATGCTCACGGCACGGCGGACCAAAGAAAATAATTAATTTTTCTCCTTTCCCTCTACGTTTCATTTTTTTTTCACTTCCTCTTATCCTCGGGTTGCATTTACATTATCTCTTCGGTCTGTCGTTCTCGAGCCGACTGCTGAACAAAATTAAGAAAATATTCTCGTTGCGGCCCACCACCTTTGATATCTGCACCACCATTAAGTGATTTAAATGATATCGATTACTACACGATATACATATAATATTATATAGCATCGCATAGCATCCCATTTAAATCAAAGGCTGATCAAACATATTTTTATTTAAGATTTCCATTATTTTTCTTCCAATTCGTATGCCGTTGCGAAGTGGAGAGGACATCCAAATATACACGAACACAATACACAGTCGCAAACACAAATTACACAAGGCGTATTTACAATTATTACTTTTTATCATTAATTATTTTTTAACGCCATCATTATTGGCGAAATTTTACTTATTAGCTACTTATTCATGCCAATAACAACCAGTCCTGTTTTCTTTTTTAAAGTAAATATAACAGTGAGCCGCAGCATCCATTTTGCACATTTTTTGGGGCATAAGTAAAGATCCCTATTGTGTAGTTTTAATAACACATGCTTCACTGTCTTTTCGGTTTTCATTTGGTATTTTTTTTTACTTTTGCAAAAACCCAGACACGAAAAAAAAAATTCTTTGCCAATTTACACGTCAAGTTTTGTACTATTCGTCGACGATTTATTGTCTGCTTTAACTTTCTGTACAAGACAGATAACCCAGCTGGAAATATCGCAAGATACTATTTTTCTATATGACCCGCGAGAAAAGATGGACCGTTATTAATCCTCTTTAGTGCTAACCGTCGAGAATTCGTTGGGTCCATACAATGTTTGCCAGGAATTTAAACGATAAACTTGTATCTGCCGCTTCTATTACTTTATTTATTTTTATGTTTTTTTTATAAAGTTCCAAGGACTTTTTTTCCCATTCACTTTCAACCGTATTCTCGTTCAATCCTTTTCATATTTTCCCTCATACGACTCTCCGAAAATAAGATCTGTTAGGATAGACAACAAATTTGTGCGAATCCGGCGTCGTGCTACTCCAGTCAAAATGAGATGCAACCAGGCAGTTCGAATGAGTCTGACAAGCTGGGCTTTGGAGTTGGGATCCAGTTTGCGTTTGAACCGCAAAAATCGCGACTGACAGAAGAACAAATTGAGCAGTTCGTTTTTGCAAATGTTTTTCCAAATTGTGACAGACATTCGTCTACACGTTAGAAAGACTGGAGCGATATGAGGATTTAAGTAGCGTGAGAGAAAATTAAAATAAATTTGAAAAAAAAACAGAAAGAGAGAGTTATGGGTATTTAATATGTAAAGCGAAGAACCAGCATATATATATAAGAAAATGAAAATCCGAGTTTGCGGGTCGTGTGGGTAATGTACAATAGACGCAATGTGATTATTAAGCGGATCGTATGAAATCATATGAGAGAGTACACCTGTGTAAATATACCGATATGACATATAAATATATATATATATACATAAACGATAATTATAATGATAAACTCGTAAAGCGAATAAACAAAATACTTGTTTTTTATATCAGATATGTATAGCGAAATATTATTCTGTATTTTGTAATCGGGACGGACGGTATGATATAACGTGATGTATGCCTGAGGTGCCGTAAGACATCTCGCTGAAGGGTTTCGAATAATTAAATAATAATAATTTCGAGACCCATCAGCGCCAAAACGAAATAATCTTTTTTTAAGAAATTCTCGTAGCGCACACGAGAGACGCCATTGGCCACATTCTCCCGAAAAGCCTCGTCGAATAGTCGTAAGATACAAACCGATTGCGTTTACACCGATCAGAGAGCCAATGTTAGAAGATAACGAGGGTTCTGAAAATAAATTAAAAATGGCGGAAAGAAAAAAAAAGATAAAAGCTCAGAATTAATATTTCCGAGCGCACAGCACGTTCGGCGAAACGTCATAATTTTCTTCCAATCCACTGCCACACGGTTCGATTAAAATTATTAAAAATCGTTTGATTGCTATTAAACAACCTGGCAATTCTATTATAGATTCTATTTAATATCTGATCGGATCGGATCGCTTCCAATTCACTGCCGGAAAGCGTCGGAGTCTCGCTGGTTTCCGTTTTCGCGTTCGTCGCTCGCCCACGATACACGCTTCCGCCGGGATACGCAGGACCCCAGACGCCATATTACTGGTCCATTTGTTACGTAACGGGAGGAACGCCGAGAATGGGGCCAAAACTCTCGCGCGATTAGTTCAAGAAGTCGCTTGCGTGCGTTAGACGTGTGACGATAAATTTTACTTCATTTGCCAAGCCTTCTACTTTTATATTTTCATCCATCTCAATTGATTATTGCTGCTGCTGTTTCAGCATCTCCCTCTTCCGTATCCCTATTCCTTTCTCTCTGTCTCCCTTGTTTCTGTGTACGAGAAAATCATTTATTATACCTATCTATTTACCTTGACGTTCTATCATCTGTATCACCTGTGCTTAAGCTTCGTTTCTATCGTGACGCGCGATAAACACTACTGTACACTCTATCACTTGTATATAATGTTAGAAAGGAAAAGAGGTGAGGAGAAAAAAAAATTGAGAATTATATTTTTTCTATCGATCCAAAAACATGGTGACTTATCAACAAGATCGTGCAACTCGGTTAGTTTCGTTTAGATTGTAATAATTTTGTTTTTTCTTTCACGTTTGTCGTCACTCTCTCGTGCAGTGGATACCGAATTTTCTCTGTCTCGACACTTTCCGGTTGTTTGATTTTCTTCTTTCTTTTAATTTTGAAAAGTTGCCTTTGCCTTGACGAACAATTTCCTCCTTCTTTCTTACTCTCTATGTGGATTCTTCGAAATGTTAATTTTTCTCGTTTTTCTTTCGTTAATTGTCTAGAATTTTGGATAAATTACGTTGATCGACTCGACTCGCGGGATTTGTCGTATGATTTCGCATAAGCATGATAACTGACCAATTGCCTGAACGTAGCTTAAGAATCCTTTCACTTTTTCCCCAAAAAAAAAAATGTTTAGGACGTGGCGTGTTTTAAGGATATTATAAATAAAATATGATTGTGAATATCTCTTGTGTTACGTTAATGTGATTAAAAGAACATTGTAAAGAATTAAATAAAGCATACATTTTACATTTATTCGATTTCCACCAATGTCAAAGTCGACCACTTACGTTATAAGGATAAAAATATGATGAAAAATGTATTATTGGTTTCGTGACGCCTTTATTTATTTTATAAACTAGTATTATAAAATAGTTACAATGAAAAAATGGACGTTTCTTTCCGTACCGTCCAACAGGGTAATGACATGATGAAATTTAAATGAGGCTACGCTCCGTCGCAAGGATTGCTTATAAACTAAAATCTAATGGATCCACATAGATTCTTTGCTCTTGTTATTCCATGTTTTTATTTATGGAAATCTAAAGTATACTACCTAAAGATCGACTTAAGGGTCGTTTACGTTCATAGAAAATGCATCGACATCCGTTCTACACCGGATGCTCATCATAATTCAGCTACGAGTAGTTTAAATAATAATAAAATACGATATCTTTCCGGCTGTAACACTGAGTAATCACGTGTAGACCTACATGACAGCGAATGAGCATGTCGATTGAAGTTAGGATAATTGTTAAATTATATTTAGCCTCGTGCGATTGATCAATCGCCATTGTATCATCAGCATGAAACAAAACGGACACGTACTACAAGAATCGACCGAATGAAGACACGCGTCTGTACATACACGTACGTATATAAATCAGCTAAATAAATAAATTAGCCTCGGCCGATCAGCGAGATTTCGAATTTGATTTTTAACACTCCGGATACTCGATCTCGAAGCGATACGATTTTTATCCACAGAATCATTTTGGCATCTCGTGGATTATTGAGTAAGAAAATAGTCCCGTGGTAAGCGAGGACGTGGTACAACTCCTTTTACATTTATGACGGATAAATCCTTTAGGGCTGAGAATGTTCCATTTTGTAGACATCATGGTACGCATTACGTATGAGTGCGTAGGGGAAACAGGATTCCAGAAGATCCATCGTTAGGAAAGGTGACTCCTGGACAATTTGATCCAATAGAAGATACACAGATTCGCGATTTTTGGTTGTCTCTTTGTCAGCTTCCTGACCGAGTCGCAGTAGACTGGAGGATGCCAGTGCCAGGAACTCCTTCATCCTATCCTCGATGTCGTTCTGACCGCATATTGTGAACAGCGCACCGAATATATTATTGATAGCAGTAGCCATGCAGTGTATGTTATTTGAATGGCCTTCCAATGAAGCTCTGTAGAATGAATTCTCGTTGCGAGCTAATTTAGGGATGGAAACTGCAACGAAGACCATGAGAAGGCAAACTAGAAGATGCTCGTCCTCGTCGACCTCAGGCTTTTGACCTCTTAGTGCAACCGTTAGAGTAGGATCCACTTTGCACGTTAGACCAGCTGCTGACGTCATTTCCGAAACGACTCTCATGGGATCCCCCGAAGGAAGATGATGTCTGAAATCCAGGATGGAACTCAGAAGGAAAGGTATGCGCTCTTCAAGAACGTCTACGAGGGCGGATTGAGCCAATTGTCGGAAGCTCAGTATGACGCCAATGATGGTCACTCTCTGGAGAACGTTGTCCACATGCTGAAGCTTCTTGAACTGTTCCTTCATGACTTCCGGCTTGTCAAAGTTTGTTCTTAGAGCGACGAGCACGTCTTTGTTACCAGCCACTAGCTTCTTCAGCTCCTGTACCTGGCTAGATATGTGCCACATGAGTGTTTCATTCAGCATCTTCATCCCGTATGGACCAATAAGTTCTGCCAATGCTCGAAGTTCATTGATGTCTGAGAATTCTTCAGCGTTAAATGGAATCGCTCCTTCCACTGAAAGACTAACGAATGCCCTCTGGTTACCAGAATAACAGATGTTACCTGCGCTGACTCTTCTTAAGAGAACTTCAGAGTACCACTGGGTATACAGGGCTGCGATAGTCTTCTCGCCATGACTATCAAGGGCTTGAGTCTGTTGTAACAATGCATTATTAAATACCCTGGTGATGTCTATGTGGACGTAATTCTCAACTGTCTGAAGGACGTTCATGTAAGCACGGACGCTGACGAAGAGTTCAGATGGCTTAGCAATTTCACTGGTATCTGAATTAAACATGACCATCCCAACAAGAGCCCTTGCGAATCTATTTTCTAAATGTTGATGAAGATATTCTCTAGGTGCAAATGTATACTCCCAGACGTTGATCGTAGGACAGTAATTGATTGCGTAACATAGTTCAGTAAGAGCCATGTGTAATTTATCCATCGTGGTAAGTTCCTCTCTGGTCTTTCTGTATGATTCGATACCAGGTTTATGAATTTCATACATGTTTTTCTTGTTCTTATCTTTTTTCTTGCGATTCACTACTTGGGATATCATTAAAGCGCAGTGTTTTGGCAGCAGCTTGTCACTCATGTTACATTGCTCATCGCATATGGTGGTTATGATATTTTTGGCTTCCTTTGCCATCTCATCTAGAAACATGTTTACTACTGATAAACTTCTCTCGCGGATGTGATGACGTTCCTCAGGACAGAGCTCGTGAGTGCAACTTTGAAAGTGGCTGCAAATTAATGGGAAGGCTATGATGTAGCGATTCTGAGCAGGGAATTCCAAGCACATGTGAAATTGATCCTCGAAGATTTTACTGTAGAAACAGAAGATTGACAGGTCAGATGTCTCTACTAGCATCTCATCCAGATTGTCTACCATTTTTGTGTGGAATATTACTGTGTCCATGAATGAGGCAAGTTCTCGATTGTCGGCGAGATTCATATTGCACTTGGCGATCGACATGTAAGCTTGTAGTCTGTACCAATCGAGTCTGAATGCCCGGAAGTCGAAGAGTTCATTGTCCTCGACTTGTTTGACGGTGACGCTTGCTATGGTAGAGCACATGTCGCTCAAAATTGCACCTTCGTCCTCGGGACAGACTGGGAGATTCTGAATCATTTGATGAAGCGCAGGTGCGTCGAATCCTGAAAGGAATTGCACGTAGTAACGCTGAAGGACTTGAGAATACTTCCTGACCAGGGCTCGTAACTCCTCGCAATGGAATAGTAATTCGGGGAGTTGTCTGTCTACCAAATCTTCACTGCCACGACCTTTTCCTTTGCCTTGGATGGGAGGATTTTCACCATGTCTTAGAAGCCAAAGGACTTCATCCCTGGCATGTGACAATCCCATGAGTACCAGTAGTGCTTTTGGTCCCAATAGTCCTGGTTGATCGGTTAGGATTAGGCCAAGTTCCTTTAGAGCGGTACGTAGAAATTTCCTTCTCTCTCTGTGCCTGTATCCAGCTTTTTGTATGGCTTGATTATAACACTCTTTCACTTCGGACACTCTCTTGCTGTAACCCTTCATACTTTCGAAGAAGGCTTGTACATACTGGTGTATGTAGATTACTTCGTCTCTAAATAATGCCAAGACCCAACTAGATTCCAGAGCTGTAGTCCAAAGTTTGCCAGGTTCTTCCTGGCTTAGAAATGTGTGACAGAGTGTAAAGCCTAGAATAACCCATCTTTCAATCCTGTCTAAGCTTAAAGTTTCACACGACATTGTATCGGTTGCCGCTGCTTTAAGAATCTGCCCAGGACTACCAACCAAACTTAATTTTTGATCAGCTCTCCAAGTATCTGCTGATAGATTTCTACCTGGATATATTAACCATAGTGAAGTGAGAGCATTTTTCAGAAGCTTGGAATGTGGTACAAATTCCTCAGATAATTTTTTCAACGGAGCATCATAGTCCATGATCATTTGCCCCAAGCGAGGAAAACTCGGATCGGACTGGCTATGTACCATTTCATGTGCTGCATTAAATAAACCCAGAACAGCTTTGCGGTCTTCCACTTTTGAAAGCAGAATCATCAAACTCACATACGTAACGACTAGGTCCAAGTATCCTTTGGTAAGATCGAAATTAATAGTAATATCCATATGAACCCCACAGGCATCCATTGTTGTAAGGAGTTCGCAAACATTGTCTTTGAAGTCCAGGAGGTCAACAAAAGTGTAGTAATATAATGAGAGAGACTTGATGATCTCATTGCGAAGATTAGTGATAGTCTGAAGTCCTTTGATATCTATATTAGGGAATTTCCTGACGATAGACTTAATTGATGATTCCAAAGTCTTATCTGATAAGAATCCTGGCTTGGATTTGGCATCGCCACAAGCTTTCTTGATATTGTAGATACGTGTCAGCATACCAACACCACGGTCATTCAAAATAGTGAGTTTCTCAGCCAGCTTCTGCTGACTTGGCACAATAGGACGTGCCATGATGCTTCACAATTACAGCAGAAACGAGTTTCTTCACTAAACTGTCATAATTCAATGACTTCAATGTTTTTGGATGACAGCAGACCCCACCCTGGGCTGCTCCCTGAACACCGGATGCGTTCCGACTATACCAAATGGTTAGTCTCCTGCAATGAAATTTCACGTAAAAGTCTTATAAAAGGAAAGTAACTTTCAATCCTTATATATTGATCCACAGAATACTCACTGTTCTTCTTAATTCATGTTCAACCAACGAAAAAATGTTGACATAACAAACAGCACTGTGTACACTGGAATATGTTCTGAAATTAAACTAGTTACTAGACTTGCGCAATAGCCAATAGCCTGACGAAAATTCCCTAGACAACAGTGCTTCGAAGGAAGTCACCGAAATATCAGAGAAACGTATTTTATATAAGGAATTTTCCTCAGTTGTATATTATTGCATGACACATAAAAGTTATTATTCCCCACAAATATTTTATTTATTATTAATTTTATGTTGCAGAAGCGACAAAGTAATTTTCTTTTTGTCAATGGTGAAATGGCACCACTGTTACAATTTGAAACTCAAAGCGTCAGGCGTGACGCACTACACTAAAATAAAAACATTGTATAAAGAAGCGTCGACCCGAGAAATATTCGCAAAAGCCTCGAAAAGGAATGACCTAGCATGAAAGTCGGGGCAACGGAGGCAGACAGGGAGATATGTGAGTTATTTCAGTTATCTGTTACAGGAAGAAAAAGGAAGATAGTATAAAAAAAGTTACCAGTGGATATATGATAATGGGTATAATCCCCCGATATCTTATCCTTTATGGGTGTTATTCGTTTATAAGCGCTTTTGGATCGAGTTCAATTCGTCTCACCCCAAAATCCGTCTAGCCATGAACCACCAGAATCACTAGACCACCCCTCGATACGCAGCCATTGGCTCGGTTTTACTACTTTCCCATTTTTCATTAGCACAATCAACTCGGCCGTATACAGAGAAACAATGGCTTCTTGCAGAACGCCGGTCTGCCGTGCTGTAGAAATCTATAGACCATTGACTATAGGTAGAGAAGTAGGAGAACTTGCCAGTGCCATATATAACGTGAAGAGAGGATTGAATTTTCCTCCCTAATAGGGGATGCAGATTAGTTTTCCTAGCCTTGAATTTCTAATCGTTTCTGGGAGAGAAGGTCCAGTTTGTGGACCGTATTGATGCGACTCAACTACGGCTAATTGAAGAGGACAATATTTAATCTTCATCTAGTTACCCGATAGTAGCGGTAAAGTAAGACATTGCTATAGGGGTGAGTGTGTTGGGAAATCCATGAGACACAGTGAATCCTCCATAGTCTATGGCCAGGGTGGAACAGGTCCGGTAGCAGCAATGCAGAAACGAGCGAGAAACCAGGCGGCTTTAATTATCCCGCGGCCTCCTAACGTGCAATTAATTCCGAATGCGGTTTAGTTTAGCGAACGAAGAGCAAACAATGTATTACCCTTCAGAGCGCCTAAACGTAGGTGGTTACCTAGCCAATGTAGGTAGAGGGTAAAGGGTAGGAAGGTAGCTAGGTAGGTAGGTAGGTAGGTAGAGGAGGCCACTTTGCGCAAATAGCATGGATCTGCAGATAGTGCATACCCACCCATCCAGCTCCCATCGCCCAGTGAACTCTCTACACCCTTTAGATCCTCGACCAACCCTCCCTCCCACGTGGCCAGGAGGGCGAGGTTAATGCTCCGTGAATTTGTGATTGCCCTCTGTGCAAATCTACCAGGCTTACCAAGGGGGCCCCGAAAGTTCCTGTCGCTAGTCTTTTATTTTGAGAATTTTTCGACGTCACCATTTTTTCATTTCACTTCTCTGATTGTTTAAACCTTCCCTAAGAAATTTCCTGAGATTAAGATATCCTTTGAAATGTCTAGGTACACGGCAGGTACGAGTGCGCTTGAGTATGATGACTCGGAACAGTCCAAAATGGCAGTCAGCTCATTCCTCCCAGTTCAATGGATGCTGGAACTATGGACGAAGGTAAAGGGTGAAAAAGGTTAAAGGGAAAAAGGCGCTTCTGATAGGTGGAGAGTGGAGTAGCTCGCGCGAAGCGAATGACTGCGATTCGTCCAATTATCGGTTGGCACCAAAAGTGCTGGGTCTGGCTCGCCTGCCAAATGGGAAATAGCCAGGGTGAACTGCAGAGGTAAGCTATAGCGGTACGGACTATGGACTTACGGACTATGGTAGAAATTCCTATGTGTAGATGTAAAATGGCAATCGGCGAGAGAGATAATTTGCCCAGTGAGCGTGGCAGCCGATTTTCTTCGCTGGATGAGGGCTGAGGGATGAAAAATTTTGGCCATCCTGTGTAAAATCGTGGAGAATAATTTGCAGTCGCGTATCTTTATCTCTGGGCAGTGTCGAGCCACCCTCGTCGTTCCTTCGACTCGACGGACGCGCCGCGGCGCCCCGAGACTGGTAAATGACGTCATTAACGAGGCTAAAGTGCTGACGCGTCGAGACTAACTCACCCTAGCCCGAGTCACCCCAATTCACCCCTTGGAAGATCGATGCGTCGATTTCCGATGCCCCTGTACCTTCATAAAGGGGGATGGAAACTTTACGTTACTCCATGTGTACTACTTACAGGTCCTTCCTTATTTTTATGGGGTCACATTGTCGGCTCTGGAATTCATGAGAACAGTCCTAAAACTTTTAAAACGTAGTAACCCATCCCGTTGGTCTGATTAGTTGAATTACCATAGTGAGAAGTTAATTAAATTACTTGATGCTTTATCTAATGGTAATACCTTGAAATAGAGTAGCTTTAGGATAGTAATATATATATATATATACATACCAAGTCCATATATCCATACATGTGAGAGGTATAGTAACAACCCTATAAAACTGTAATCGACATCCCCTATTCTGTCAGCTCGTCTAGTTTCGGCTCTGCCGTAAATCCGGATGGTCGGGACATCCGGTTTTATCGTGGACACTCAAACCGGAAGATTGTCCTGGAAAAATGGAGGTATCGACCTTCCGGTACTTTGGAGTTTTTGAGCATATACCATTCTATTACACAGACACGTAAGTATACTCCAGTAGTACCACTTCCTGTAGAGTGTTTTAACGAGATGTTGCCTCCCTCATATAATAGGTTGACTGGGTGACTGGCTGGCTGACTGACTACCTACGTCAGTCTCTGCATACATTCTACATACATGACCGGGGAGCTCGTATATGATTTTGCGTCCAGTGAAATTCTCGGAACCGCTATATAGACTGGGTAATTGTCGAGACTGGTATGCAGAATACATGCCACGTGTGTTCCAGGCTGTAGCACTAATATACTTGCACGTGTTGGCGATCGTGTCCCCAGGATTTGATTGTCCATGTTGCCAAGAGAATTATTGAGTCCACTGGATTCTGCCGACGTGAAATTCTCGTGCCGTGTATAGGCACGCCTGGAGGATTAGCTATATGCAATGCGAAGTAGTGGAGAGAATAAAAAAAAACATCGACCCACGTACGTACTATATATTATTCTAGAATATTATTTATATAAAAGAGACACACGGTATATATATATATATATATATATATATATATATATATATATACATAAAATGTATTATGTTTAGCGAAGTGAACGGCTGATTTAGGTACCGTCCTACTGTTAATCATAGAGACGCCGGCACTGACATCTTTAGAGGCTGTTGGCTACGTCGGGAGTCGTCGGTTTTACGAATTGCGTCGGCGATTACGAGACTCGACCAGGAGGTGGGTGCCCGATAAAAATACTTTTAAGGAAATGAAATTGATATAAAAGACGGATTGCAATGGGGGCCCATAAAACATTGTGGCTCGAGAGTAGCCATAGGTACCTAGTGGTACATATATCCTGAGGGTAAGAACTCAGGATATAGAGAGTGGAAGTTATCGCGAATGGGTGTTGCTTCGTCTTCCAGTGCTAACTGGTAACTGGTTAGTGGTAAGAAAAGAGAAGTACGGGATCTTGGAAGTGGAGAGTCAGGATTGAAAGTTCCCTCGGCTGTCGTTATGCTACTTGCCGTGCGCGCTATCGTATACATACGCGTCGGCCATATATTTATGAGGTTGGCTATGCGGCTGGACTTTAAATTCCCTACCTAAGAAAAACCGTCGCGCATTAGCTTCCTCGTGGCTCTGCATGAAATCTTTAGAGGGTCTGCCAGGGTAAGGAGAACTGAGTGCTACTTGCATTTTCCCGAGGACACCAGCTGGGACTTTACTTAGGCAAGGTTACCTGCCTGAATTTCCTCTTGGCGAACGATTCAATTTATCTCGCTGTTACTCCTGGCTGCAATAGCGACAGAGAGATCCGGCGAGGAAGAGAGTGAGTGACATAGAGATAGTTGAAGGGAACGAATGATGCATTAGGAGTAACCGGGACCAATAAAAATCAAGCGCTTTCTTTGCGCCGCGTGATTTGTGGCCGATAAATCAAAAGATCGCGTTCCTGGTGGGTCGCGGAGTCAGAGGGGAAGGCGGAGGTGGAAGTGGCTGCTAGAAGAAGAGGTACAAAAGAGACAAAAAGAAGATATGCACTGAGCGCATAAGAGTGAGACGGTGTGAGGGGTAGGTATGTATGCGGAGGCGCAATGGGTGCTTCAAACTGTTCGAGCGCCTCTGCAACTTCCTCGGACGTCCCGACGTAGGAGGGCGCGCGATGAATCATTTGATTACCGGAAAACTTACGATTTCTACTCTCAGCGGAAGGCAATTTACAAGATTGGTGGCTGGGCGCTATAATGCGAAACGCGATAGCGCCGTCGGGCTAAAGCTACGATGGGGGTACGTGGGACGGGCTTCAGCCGAGTGCTTCAGGGGTTTAGTGTTTGTGTTTTTAATTTTCCCGGCCCGTTTTGTATGCAGATATCTAGCGTAATTTATCCGGGGCTACACGCTCTACGTGTGGCGGCTAGCCAGCCTGAACCGTGCCTGCCTCTGCCTGTCGGCGTGCCACAGGGAACGAACGAGGAATACCTATAGAGGAAGAAGTACAAGTCGGATCGAGCTGAGGAACCATTGCCTGCTTCCTTTTGCGACTCCGTAAAATCCCATGGGATGGTACTAGGAATCGTTTGGAAATCTAATGAAATTCTGAAAAAAATTCAGGGCAGGTACGTTATTGAATGCTTGTTAGTCAAGTCTCGTATGTGTAGGCTTTTTTTTGACACCAGGTATAATATCTATTTACATTGTTGGTCTTGTTTAGGGAGCAAAAACTTGGAAGGTTTTTCCAATATCTGGGACGCTTCCAGACGGCAGTGGGCATCTAAGCGCCAGCAAACAGAACAAATTGTTTTTGCTTAAATTGGCAAAGACTTGGCTATCCGGACGAATACAGGGTTCACGAAACTACCGGGCAAGAACTTAATTATCTGTGAAACAATACCCTAGGAATTATGATTATTACCCGGGGGGGTACGAGAGTCTTGCGGGGAAGCTTGGGTACCTCGCTGTAGAGCAGACCTTTTCTTCTCAGGCCATCACTGTGATAAAAGTCGTACGCGTAAATAGGGGATTCAGTTTCATCTTCAAGGTCCTGAGGAACAGACGTTCCTACGGAATTGCAACCGGGCACCGCGAACTTTCGTGTAACGAGATCCTGAGATACGTTTATCCCACGTTGCGACAGCTACCGTATTAAAGGAACTGTCCTTACCCTCATGCCCCTCTGGTACCATCCATAAGTTCAAAGGCTAAAGAACTTTGGATTCTTTCTTAGTCGACATGGGTACCTAAGATATCTATAGTGGTCCATGTTACTCTTATTGCAAGATCTTCCTCCTACGTAACGGGAGGAATCTTCTTGTTAAGAGAATAAGGGATGGAGAGAAAGAAAAAAAAAATGAAAAATAAAATAATTCCAAAGGCTATCTTACGTGGTTGAAAGTTCGCATAGATCTGTGCTTTGTATCATCTGGAAATTATGGTTCTGAAGTCATTATGAATTCTTCACGTGGATAAAAATTAAACAATCCCTGCCCCTGTGGAGAAATAAGATCTTACGAGCCTCCGCGCCAATGGTGCAACCGGGATCTTCTCATCCAAGGAGTACTAGGGCTGCTGGCGGTGCTAGCGGCTTGTTTACTACCCTAGTGGCAGCATCGGAGTGAGACCATGAAATCGGATTCGGCGGTGTACGATGCAAATGAAATTGTGAAATTGGTTCGAGAGATTTATCCATTTAGACTGACGCGGTCGAGTGTAAAGAGCAAGAAGAACGCGAATGTACTCTCATTGTGCTTCTCATAGTGGTGGTGGTGGTGGTGGCGGGTATTCTCCTTCGTACCAGTAGGGGTAGTAACGACCCCTCTGGCTGGTAATAGTGGTGGTGGTTACTTCTGACGCTCTGCTAGGAAATATGATAATACCCTGGCGACGGCAAGACGAATGGTTTCCACGATTCCACTTACTATTGCGGTTAACTCGCGGATTGGTTATATAACTGAAAGGACTCTGTTCCTGAGGACACGTAAGGATACTGAAAAAAAGGTATTTTTGTTTTGAACTTAAAATTTAAACACACTTTATGGTATGTTGTATAGTTGGGTAAATTAGTTTTGTTTTTGCCACTTTATAGCTACTCCTCTTTGCCTCCTCGTTCGGGTGCGATAATTCTCTATGCTGGGGGCGGAAACTATCAAGGAGTAGTGAGTTCGGCAGGATCTTCTTCCGCAGAAAGACGATGGAAACTTTGGAGGATCCTGAAACGACGCTACCAAGTTCGCTGGTACGGAAAGCGAATTGCTGACCCGACGGCGTCGTCGCGGGATTTCAATTAGTCTCTCTATTCCTTCCTGATCGCCTAGCGACCAAGTTAACCTTCTTTGCTGGCTCCCCGGCTGCTTTAACCTACCCTTAGCTTCAGGATCGAAGATATTCCTGGCTATATCTAACCCTTACTTAGGTTATAACCCTCCGACCTGATTGCTTATGCTTATAACGTTTCTTATCCGAAACGTCTTGGTCTAATAATTATTTCAGCGTTAATGACTCATTTCGATTACCAGGTTAGACCTTACTGAATTCCATCAGGGAGCCTGTCCCTTTTATTTTTGTAGGATTTGTACTAGTGGGTTGACACAAATTTTCATCTCTTTTATGAAAACACTGTTTCCTTTGAGATTTAGTAACTTTTTTTTTTAGTGGTCCTCTGCTTTGGTACCCTGGATCTGGAGCACTCCAGCTGTCCGTCTGTTTCGCGACGAGCAACCTACATATACGAAATTACTGAAGGATTAAGGTTAATGGGTGCTCTCGACTAGAAGAGCTACCCCCGCTGTGTCGAGGAGGAATATTTTTCTGAAGAACCCTTTCGATTCTTAATATAGTCTAATCTACAAGTAATTCCGTTACTGATCTGAACCTGTATTTACCTACATACGTTCGTAAATGCAACACAGATAATATCTGGAAATTCTTTTTATAAATATTCTTTTGCAACGTTCGTATTATATCTCTCATAATATATATATATTATGTTATTTATTTTTCATATTGTTATCGCGGTACTTGAAATGTGAACGAAGCTTTAGACTACACAAAGGGGACAGGACGTTAGCAGCAAGGCGTCGCGACGTCCGGCGCTTGTCATTATCTCCCTATGATAAAATCGATAAGCGACGCCTACACGTTGGCTGGCGTCGGTTAACCGTGAAATCCACCAGAAACTTCACACGTAAACATACGACACAAATAGGCAGTAAGAATGACACGTGAATTAACCCGTATGCTTCCTTTTAATAATTTATATGTAAACGTGTCCTTGTTCCAGTGGGAGTTTCAAGACGACGAAGCGCAGAATTTATATTTTTGTTTTTTCCACAAGAAAAATTCCTAAGACGCTATCAACGTCAACGTCACTCAAAACTGTTAAAAGGATCCGCGTGAAAATGCTGAAGGGCCGACAAACAGTTCAGCTGTATGCACGCTGCCGAGAGGCAGCCACGTTATTATATTCATTAGAGCTCATCCGAGCAGATAAAAGTTGCCGGATATAAAGGGGGCGCCTGTTATTAATGATCCCGGGTAATCTACACTCTTCTGCGCCTTCTTTCGACCCCTCCTTCAACCCCATAGCATCCCCAGTGCACATTGAACCCGCCATTTTACCATCCACCAGCACAATCTTCGCCCTAAATTCGTCTGAGTTTTCTGAACTAAAGATGAGCCGATCTATCGTTCTATTATGCTTAACTTCCTAGCAAGAAACTTGTGCCTTAAGCATACAGACAATTTCAATCGCCCTTCGCTTAGGGGGACGCTGATACTCTATAACTTCAAAAAAGATTTGGTAAAGTTACATGAAACTTTTAGATTCCTTGCAAGAGTTTCAATTATCCTTTGGAGATCTTTGATTTTATTTACATAGTTAACCGGTACTATTTTCTATGTATCTATTTCTTTACTGCACCTTGGGGTTGAAGATTCTCTCTTTTTCTTTTTTTTACGTAGGTACCTACTAACCCTGAAGGAAGAACCTGCAATTTCTCGAGGTCTCAGCTCGTTCACGAAGCGCATAGTATATTGCACGGAGCCATTGTAACGACGAATGAACGTCGTAAAGAGTTTAACAACGCAGCACCGAGGACAGAAAGGAAAGTTGGCTCCTAAGACCCTTACGGCATCGTTAACTGCGCGTATTTTAGAGCTGGTATAAAGACGTGGAAGGCTCGTGGGATTGGATAAGGGTGTAACGAATTCTTTTTTTAAGTACTCGGAACATAAAAAAAAAACAATGTATTTATTTTGTTTATAAAGACTAAATAATATTTAACAGAAAAAAAAAAACTATGAAAAATAAGTCCATACATCAATCAACATTAATGAAATTGGAATTATCGAATTGAGACAAAACGACAAAGTTCGTCCATTTACACTACTCTCATTCACTCTTCCGGCATATTTAACATATATCAACAAAACAAAAATTGGCCATATAATAAATATTATTCAGGTTCTTATCTTAATTCGGTTTCCTTGATTTCACAGATCCCTCGTGGCGGTCGTCAATTGTTATTTAGAACTAAGGATTTGCTCTTAGCGTCCTCAATTCACAAATGTGTTCGCTGCCCACGTGTCTCTCCCCTTTTTAATATTGTGGAATAAATTCGTTTCCGTTGCAAAGTCAAATTCCCGGGCCCTGTTGCCTGGTAATCGTTTAACACACGAGGATTGTATTAAATTTTAATATAAAGTATTTGAGATAGGTGTGATCGGATAAATACCTGGCTCGTCGAATTGATACACGTGTCACCTTAGACGGTTGTTAGTCAAAAGGGACGAGCCAGGATTTCTTCCGATGAATATGGAACCGCAGCGAACGGAGGGGGGAAAAACGATATTGGTGCGATCTATTGACTAGATTCATTACCATAACACAGGTATGACCTGTCGGTAATTCGTCACAAGGGTAGGTGTGGTTTCAGCTCGATCAGTTCTGAATATCAGAGAAGAGAAGTTAATTGGTAAAAAGAATACATAGAAAGTAAAGGCAAAGCAAGAACCAGGTAGATCTATTGATATTAAAATAATTAAAAAAAAAAAATGTTTATTTCATGCTTTCTTTCTTTCCTTCCAGTGCTTTGCAAGGGGATGGAAAATGTCGCGAGGCGCTGGAGACTTCCTGCAAAATGAATATTTATCCAAATGGATGGACCAGAGGGTTGGTACCTGCACCGTGGCAGTAAAGCTGTCCTCGGTAGATAACTCTGCCGAGGCACCCTGCAGCATCCGCGAGCACAGACACATTCGTATTACTTAACCCAGCGATAAACTCACCCCCTGGAGTCCTGCAACGCCCAAACTCCACCGATGGGCCTGCATTTTCGCTAGAATTAAACCTGATTTGTCGCATTTCGACCACCAAATCCCTGAGAACTTCTATC